TCATAACAAAAGGAACAGTAGCAGTAATATAATGCTACACTGTATACACAATGAATATGCAACATTGCAATTTCATCAATAGTTTAGACTTTCTGTGTGCAGAGTAATGCTGTCTCTTCCTAACACTCCAAACTCCAGCTCAAACAGTGATGAAGACTGTATACATATATTTTATATAAAAGCAATCATTTGCTTTGGAGAAGTCATGTAAATTTCACAAAAACGTACATGTATATACCAAGTAATGAGTATTAATTTATTATTATCAAAAGTGAAGGTTTCCATGTACTATATCATCTTATGCTTTTGATGAACACTAAAAATTCAAAAAGATCTGATTTGTGTATTGTCATAAGGAAAGTCATTTTTTAATGGTTCAAGAGAGAAGCTAACAAACCTTGACAATCACATGGTCAGACAGAATTTTCTCTGCCTTGACAATCTGAACACTGGCTTCTTTGATCACTTCAGATTTCATACAAGTCATTTTAAATCCATACACATCATCCCAGTAGGTCACATGATTTGTGTGAAGGTCAGGGTCATCCAGCGCTGCTAACACTATCGTACATCTATCTGGGTGGACTAAACAAAAAAGATTTGTAAATATATAGAATTTTAACAATAATTAATTATTAATTTAACAAACAGATATATTGTTTATCTTTCAAAATTTTGCTATACACTGTACTAAAATCTGCAGAAGAATATAGAGAACTATTTTTGCCTTACTCAATTAAAGTGTAAGTTGACTTCAAGAAACAGAGAGCTCTCTAAACACAAAGATTTTTGCACTATTACAATGGGGACGGCCTATTGGCCTGTAAGCCTTAATCATATGTATTAGGATTTTAAGGGTGGTGCCGTGTATTTACCAACTCCATTAGGCTGTAGATATTTGTCCCTGGCATAAAGAACAGAATCCAACATGGATTCAAACAAGAGAAAGTATCCCATCCACTCCGAGATGATGATATCCACTTTATCCACCGGCAAATCCACATCTTCTATCCGACCTTTGATCAAAGTCACAATGTTTTCTAACCCATTTTCTCTGCATGTAATAAAAGAATGTTATATTTCTTAATTATTGCACTGCACATACAAATGTATTTATTACAAATACAAGCATCACAGCCATAACACTTTAAATCCACTTGGTTCCATTTTAACATTTTGCAGATAAAAATTAAGCTGTGTTAAAAGGGAGATAACTCTTTTTTCTGTTAAATTCTTGCATTAAAATTTTGGCTTCATTGACATAAACATAAGCAAATGGGATGAAAATGAAATCATGGTAAAACATTTCCAAGCAAACGGTACTTTCTGAAGGGTAATGTCCCACATTTTACAACAAACCTGACGATGTCCATCGCTTGAAAAACAATTTCTGATTGGTCGACCCCAATGACCTTTCGGGCACCAGCCCTAGCAGCAAACATGGAGAGGATACCAGTCCCGCAGCCCACATCTAACACCACTTTGTCCTTAAACAAGTCAGGATTCTTGTACATGAAATCCCTGTAACTTTCCGTTCTCACTTTGTCCTGCATAGAAACAAAAATGTACATGTAAAGATGAACATGTCTCTGTTAACAATATCTTTATAATTTTTGGACAATGAATCTCAATATTGAAAAATTAATTTAATTTTCGAGGGTTTTCCCTTCAAATTTGGATGAAAACTATAGCAACACATCACATATTAATACCTTACACAAAGTATCACCAAAATATTGATGTCATCTTTAAATTATATTAAAAGCAACATTATTGTAAACACTGTAAACTATATTAAAAAGTGTGTCCACAAATTTACTGGCCTACAAAACTGTTGTGCCCAAATGTGCTGAACTATTATTATTGTGTAATTGAATGACTCATTGTTATTGTTAAATACCTTTAACATTTCCTGATGGATGCTGAAATGTGCATAAGATCCAAAGTAAACATCATCTTCATCCTCTGTCAACATCTGTACAGCATTCTCTGATTTGATTGGCTGGCTGGGTTGTGACATCAGCAGATCTTGGGTGACTTTTCTGCAAATAAAACAAGAAGATCCAGTGTTGCCTAAAATGATCAGATTTAAAACAAATCAGTCTGAGGTCTATAAAACGTGCAATGAAATAATACATGCATGTATATACATGTATTAGCCACAAAATTAAATATTCTTCAATTTACTTTTGAATCTCCAGGCAATCATACATGTAGGATTAGTTTAATTGTTACTCTTGACAACACAACAATCTGACCAGATTTCTTATATAAATTCTGATTTCAAACAAATTCCATATGACATGGTCAGAGACAAATATTTGATAGATCTACACATCAGCAACATCTTGTCAAACTCACTTCACTTTCTCAAAGTCTCCAAGAACTCGGCTCAGTTCTTCTTCTAATTGTTTAACTCGACATTCTGCGTCCTTAAGACGAGCACAAGTGGCCTCCAATTCTGATTGGCTGACACCATTCATCTCTGATGAAGAACTGTTCTGAGGAGCCTTTTTATTGGTCAATTTTTCCATGTTCAAAGGAGGCCCATCAAAGGTTATACTTCCTCCAGGGCCCATAACTCCACACATGCCACCATCATCTTCATCTTCAATATCTATAAATTAAAAAAAATAGAAATTTTTTCCCCCATAAAATAACATACTTACTGCATTACCTTTATAGTTAACTCTTACAAAAATAAATTTGGGGAGAGGCTACAGTCCCTGAAACGTTCTACTTTCCCATTTTTCCATTCGCTCACCGTTCGTTCACCGTTCGTTCAGCGTTCGTTCACCGTTCGTTCAGCGTGCGTTCACCGTTCGCTCTTCGTTCACAGTATTGCGTTCACCGTTCACCGTGCGCTCGCGTTCACCGTTCACAAAACGTTTACCGTTCGCTCTTCGTTCCGTTTACTTTGCGTTCACCTTGCGTTCACCGTTCACTTATTGTTCAGTCATCATTGTCATTCGGAACTCCGAAGTGAAAGGACTTATCTTTTTGATAGTAAGGATTCTCATGTTTTTTAATAAAATAACTTAGATATCGTGTTTAAAGAATAATTATTTCGTTGCAAAAATTATCTATGATATTTATATTTCTATTATTGTAACTCAGCTGTAACTTATTTCATGAATTTTCCCTGGAAAATAATTAATACATTAAGTACCTACATGTATGTAGAACGATGCTAAAATATTTAATTAAAAAAAGGACAATGTACAAATGTTTCACGCACGGCATCAATTTGATGTAATTTTAAAGAGGACAAATTATTAATGGATGTATAATAATTAATCCAGTCTTTTACAGGACAAGAATACATAAAAAATTATTTCTACAGTAACACGTATTTAACATGTTTAAACTACATGTAGGTTTGAGAATCATGAACAGTACAGCAAATATTCAGTTAATTAGATATCTTTAGAGCTAATTAAGTTGATGGTGTGGTTTTAAATTTTAGAAAAGACCAACTGTTTAAAATAGTCTATTATTAGAGAAGAAAAATTCCTTCCTTCTCCGTACCTAAACATGTTTAAAAAAATCTTTTTTGCTATTCAGTATAATTAACCCCCCCCCCCCCCCCCCCCAGTGCCTTTTCTCCCGAAATAAAATTCTTATTGGGTTTTTTCAGTATATTTTAATTAATATTAATTTTTTATTGTAACACAAGAAAATCAGTCTTAAACCCAACATCAAACAGTCATTAAACAATAGTATTTTAGTATAAACTTGTGCCGACAGTAGTATTTAAATTGGCAGAGAATATGTTTCACATTCAATTTAAAACTTAATCCTTCCAATCATATATTCGAATTATTTTTTTCTGCAGGAATGCAAAAATCAGATCTAGAAATGATAGGGAAAAATATTAAAATTTCTTGGAATACTAAGTGACTCCTTGCCTTCGGCATGTTCGGTGAAATGCGATTTCCACACCTACACTGTGTCGAATTATTTTTATTGACAGCACAAGCACGCTACTACAAATATAGCACGGACTTCCTGTGAACAGTGTGAACTTGATGATGGAAAATAAAAGCCAATGATTACTGTCAAATGGATTTGTTAATAAAAAAAGATTACCTTTATAACCTTTATTGCTTGGAATATTTTAAGAAAAATAATTAGAATTTTTATTTGATACAACATATATCTGAGAATCGAGGGGTTATCTCTCTCTGTTACTCTTTCTCGTACATTTCTCTGTTCAATAAAAACTATGACAACACATATACTTATTTAGTTTTGAAAATTTAATCTACACATGTAATACAAATAATTTGAATGCCTCTTTCCAACATCTTGACCGAGTATAATCACGGCCGGGAAATGTCTACAGATACATGAAGAAGTTAGCTAAAATAATCGTCATAAAGGAATAAAAGGCACATAAATATAGAATATTTAGCAGTAGAATTTAAATAAAACGAGAATTTTTATGCAGTACGATAACAGTCAATGTCAACAGATAATTGTGAATTTTAAAAAAATCCGTTATTTACTCAGAATCGCTTTGGCACGGAAATACATCTACGGTTGTTTCAACCCCGTACAGTGTAATTAATTCATTCTATAAGTAGCAGTTTTATCTTCAGAAGTCCACATTATTTCATTAGTGAAAAGAATAAGCATAATTATTTACTATATAAGTAAATTAATTCATTTTTTAAGTACACGCGGTAACAAATACACGTTTGACGGCGATTAAAATCATGTTATTAAAATATCGATTTAAACATAGGTATGTGCAGAAAAAAATGTTTTTATTTATTTTTAATTTATTAATTAATTTATTTATTTATTTATTTATCTATTGTTTATATCAGAAGTAGTTTTATCTTCTAAAGTCCACATTATTTTATAAGTTAAAAGAATACGCAAAATTATTTATTATATAAGATTAATTTATTTTTTACATACACGCGGTAACAAATCCCGCATTTGACGGCTAATAAAATCATGGTATTAAAATATCGATTTAAACATACGTATGTATAGATTTTTTTAATTATTTTTTATTTATTTATTTATCTATTTATTTCTCTTTTGTTTATCTATTGTGTATTTATATTTTTTGACATTTGAATTATAGAATAAAAGAATAATTTCAATACAAGGAAAAGACCAAAGGCATTCCGAATAAATCGTTCATCTTGCGTTCACCGTTCGTCACCGTTCACTTTGCGCTCGCGTTCGCGCTCCGTTCGCGTTCTGCGTTCACTCACCGTTCACCGTTCACACATCGTTCATCAAGTTGCGTTCACCGTTCGCACATCGTTCACTCACCGTTCGCTCTGCGTTCGTTCACCGTTCGTTCACCGTTCAGGTGGGAAAGTAGAACGTTTCAGGGACTGTACAAAACGCTAATGAGAAAAAAGAAATTTAGATTAAAAATTAGATTATTAAAACTAAAACTTGCAGCATTTTTTGGAACGGCAGTTTTTTTGAAAGTTTTTAAAAACTGACAGGATTTTTCAAGAAAAGCATTTAGTACAAATTTATTTTTTTCATTTTTTTTTTAATTGAAAGAATAAACAGCTGTTTTTCATAGTAGCAGTTCAAGGTTTATGTAACTTATTTTCAAAGAATCTTCTCACCATACTGCAGTAATAAATCCTCTGGATCTGCTGGGTTCATATAATATTGTTATCCCAGGGCCAGGTATTTTTGTAAAAGAGGATTTGACTTCTGTGGTGAAGGTTTCTGTAATTTGGAAGGAAAAAAGTAAAAATTTTAAACATAAAGTTCTAACTCAAGTCTTACATGTACATGTATGTGTCAATTAATTTAGAGTTTAATGATTTCTTTACCTACCTTTTTGTCTCTTGTTTAAATTTACAGATTAGGAATCTATTATACGTGGGATACTTATAGCATACCATTTATCAAATTACTATGCAAAGTACATGACTCAGGTTCAACATTTTGCAGAGTTTGTTCCCTAAGTTATTTTAACAGAAAGCTTGATCACCGTTCAGTGTGCCAACACATAAACACACAAACCTTAGTCTGATATAATTAATCATCTTGATATACTGTATACAGTCTACTCCGTGTTGTCTGCTCCATCTGACGAGGTCAAGGTCGTGTGAGGTCGTACAGTGTGTAAACGTGACCTCGGGGGAGGTGAAGGTCTGGGGCAGAAGAGACACGTGACCTGGCTGTCCTCCGTGTCCTCATCACATTCCTCCCACTCCTCATCCTCCTCAATTCCTCCATCAACTCCTCTGTCAATAGGGATAGTATTTATGGAATAATAAATAACTATCTATTTTTTTTGGTTAGATGATGTGATCAATCAATTGACTTGCTTAATAATTTTTAGAACCAAAGGCATTTCTCATAAAATTATACACAAGCTAATCGATTGATCATTGTCATAAAACCTCAAAATCTGAAAGTTATTCCTTATATTTTTATGACCGAATCCATAAAAATTTAATGTCACAATACATTTTAGTATGTACAGCAAAACTTGTTTAGTACAAACCGGATATTGCAAATTTATGAATATAGCGAAGTCATCTTGGATCCTACCAACTATATAAATTTAACAATTCCTTGGACGGATATAACAAACTACGGGTATAGTGAAGTAATTTCATAGGTCCCAGTGACTACGTTTTAACTGAGTTTTACTGTATAGTAAAAGTATATTTTTAACAGCCAAAACAGTTGTTTGGGCCCTTTAATTGTGATTGCAAATTATTTATTTTCATTTGGTAGATCCATGTCCAATCGACAGGATTTGATGGCTAGGTTGTTTCCATATATTCTTCAGCCTCAGGGTGTACATGGAATAAAAACTGGGGTAAATCCTTTACCCTTGATAAGACCTAGATAGCTGACATTATTCATTTTTTAAAATGAATATCAACTTGTACTATAACAGATGTTATACTGAAAATGGGATTAATCAGTTAATATGAATGTTTTGATGTCAGAATGTTCCTTTTTTCAAAATCAGGTGATATAAATTATTTCTATTAACTTTATTATTACACAAACATTTAAATATTTTCATGATATATTTTCTAATCAACTTGTACATATAAGAAAGTTTTCGTTAACTCTAATACTAAACTTACTAATACTAAACTTACTAAGTCTTTTGTTCATCGAGGAAACTCGACTAAATATTACCACTACACATTGATGCTTTGTGAGGATTCAAATCATTGGAATATTTATTTATTTTGGAATTTGGAGAATCTATTAGTATCGTAAATTTTAAAAATGAAACAACATATCAGAAATTATCAAAAAAAATTATTTTTTATGAAACACGTGTTTACCTTTCTGAAGTTTTTCTGCCATGTTTACAGTGGACGTTTGGAACTCCTCTAGTCATTTCCTACCTTCATACCGTGGTGGACCTATATTTTCAAAGGATGATAATAATTTAGGGGCGTATTTATACTATAGCAAATGTTAATTGAAAGCCTTGTTGCACCCCCCCCCCCCACTTTTAGTGATGTACTGAAAATGTAGTTTAGAAATTTGGGAATGAAAGAGGCCTAGTTAACACTGAGAAAAATTTACCTTAACCCCCCCCCCCCCCCCACGAAATGGATTTTCGACTTTTGGCAACTTTTCCCTTTTTTTTTAGGTAAGTAAAAAAAAAACTCTGGCTAGCCCCCACTTTCAAAAGCGATGCTACGCCCCTCGTACATTAGAAGTAAAATTAAAGAATATATTAAGAATTGTACATTAAATCTTGAACATGTTAAATATAGATCAAGATTTTAACATCGGAGTTGTTGAGGAAGTCTGTATACAAAACTTTAAATTGTACATTATATAAAGGAAAAAAAAACCATTGAAATATTTGTATTAAGCTTATTAACTTTTAACTAATAAATGTTTTGTTTATTTTGAATTTAGTCTCTTTTATTTATAGTTCAGAAAAGAAATATTTTATTTGCGGATGAATAGAGTGAAGGAGATAATTAATAGTGAAGGAGATAATTAATTTTGAATGACTTAGGTAAAATGTCAGTATTAGAATAAATTCTCTTTTCTGCAATATGATAGACTTTTGTACTTTAATACTGTATTATTCATACTGATAAAGTTGAGAAAAATACAGTTAGCCTGATTTTCATTTTTAAAAAAAGAAAAAGAAAAAAAATGCCAATCGAAAACTTATAAAAAGACTTTTAAGTAATTATCCGTTTTTCAATCACATCCTGTGTCAACCAGAGAGACGGAATAAGTGATGTAAAAACATCGTCTGCAACCAGTTGGGGTTCGTAATAGAATGGGAGAAGATCATACATTTTAGCCGTGGTTTGTAACAATGTGTAAATTATTACCATGATTTCTTGCAACGTAGTTTCTTTCACCTTCCTATGTATACCTAAGCTAACCCCGGACAAGTCAACATTTTCAAGCTTATTCAGCATATTTGATGAAATTTTTTAGCCATTTTTCTGACATTGCAAAAAATATTTTGACAGTATAACTTTCCTTGTGCAATGGAATCAGAATATATACATGGATATTTACAATTACTTAAGTATATAACATACACATGTATATGCATATCAGACTCTTGTGAACCTAAGATAAACAACAAATTTGTTACTAAATTACATTTTAATTTTAATTGTATATCTCTATTTCGCATTTACAACATGTAGCCAGAAAAAGAAGAGTATTTGGGATAAACAGATGATGCTCCTGAATAGCTATCTATCCAAGCCTTTTTCCTGCTTCCATTCTGACGACAGCCATTTTACTACATGACATGTTAATATGATGGCTGTTGTTGTTACAATGGTTATATATGCCTTTATTTTACCATTCAAGACCAGAGAGGTATAAGCACCTTTGTTACTGTCTGTCATTGTTGTCCAATCAAAGACGTAAACTCCCGATTTGGGGGCATGAAAACCTTTTAAACCCCCTTGTAACCACCTCCTACATTCAGATCATTTTTCCAAACATGACAGTGTTTCCCTTACTCACTGTCTGGACACCTCCTTTGGATTTGGCATTGAATGCTATTACCATATTTTCTAAGGACAAATAAAGAACAAATGAGAATGAAAAAACATGTGCTCAGTGCATATTCATTATATCAAACATTCATCTGAATTAGTATATTACTTCTATCATGGTTCTTTTTACAAGAAATCCTTAACATATCCAACAGCCACACACGTTTTAGCGACACTGTCATAGTCGTCTCTGAAGGATTTAAGGCTTGGTCCTGGTGACACTTTGTCAGTGTTAATGATGCCAAAAAGTGAACCAATTCCCACAATCAACAGTAGAGAATGCATTCTATAAAATTCATGATAATTTGAAAAACACTGGACACCCATTCTCAATATAAGGGCACAAATGCCTCTCTGATTTTTTAAAAAATAAGTTCAAGATAATTTTTCTATAATTACCTTTAAAGAAAGTATCTGAAGAT